TGCTTACCCCTAAAGTGTGTGTGCTCCATAACTGTGTAAATAGTTAAGTAAATTATTTAATTTGGGCTAATAATCTGTGTTGTGCTCTGACTACATAGTCTCCCCTCTTTGCACAATACCAAAGGGAGGGGGTAGCCCAGGGAAGCAAGGAAAAGCCAGACCCTTGGGTTGCCAACTTTCCAGGGATCCCCCAAAGACTGGGGATTCCATCTCCAAATAGGGAGATTCGCCCAGAGGGGTCTCAGTGTCCCTCTAAAAAGGCAGTGATGATTCCATGAGTGGGGGCAGTGAACTTAAGGAGTGAGATACGCCCACGGAACGAGGGTGGGAGGCAAACAGCTGAGTTGTAAAGTGGAGCCCATTTCACCATTTTAGGCAACCAAGCTTGGTTCAGACAAAGGAAGGAAACCCTTTGCAGGCCTTTGTGAGGATTTCATTGGGGCCAGTCCTGACTAGGGTTGCCAGCTCCAGGTAGGGAGATTCATGAAGATTTTCTGGTAGTCTATGGAAGCCAGGGTTTGGGGAGGGGTAGTCTATGGAAGCCTTAGCTGAACAGAATGTCATACAGCCCACCTTCCAAAGCAGTGGGATACAGTTCCCCCTCTGAAGTCATAAAAAGAGATGAAAGCATAGTACAATGAGGCCTTTTCTAGAATTGGCTCCTGATACTGGAGATTCACATGTTCTTGTAAAAAAAGTACTTCTTTACTCATCGAGGAATTAAATTGGCAGTGGATGCAGTGATGGCCACTAGCTACAGGGATTTAAAGGAGATTAGACAGATCTTTAAAGGAGAGGTCCAACAACAGCTTCTAGCCATGATGCTACTGGCCAATCACAAAATTATGTAAGTTGCACAAAATGCTGGGAAATTCCATGCCGAGCATCCTGCAACAAATGCAACTACTTCTGAATTGGGCGCTCCCAGAAGAGGCAAAGGTGATGCCTCTTGGACTCTTCAGAAGTAGCTCCTGCATCCAAGATGTGAAAGAAATCAATGACTGGCTCTTTGCTTTGGGGAAATAGATCTTGTTTGGTTTCAGTTTCCAAAGGAAGGGGATAGTTACAGAGGGTAGTCATGTGGGTCTGTAGTAGAAAAGCTAGATTCGAGTCCAGTAGCACCTTAGAGAGCAACAAGGTTTTCAGGATATGCACTTTCAAGTGAAAGCTTGCTGTATCAAGATATTTGTCAGATATCTGACATCTCTTATCTGATGAAGAGAGCTTTGACTCTCAAAAGTTTATAACCTGAAAAGGTGCTGCTGGACTGGAATCTAGGAAAGGAATGGGAGTGTATTCCTTCTGATTTATGACCATGTCACAAGCCATCCTTATCCTGCTTGGTGACAGAATGTATTTAAGAGTAGTATAGTAGCAAACATTTGTTAATATTATGAACAAAAGGCACTGGGTTTGCTGGGCACGTACACTGCACTGGTGTGTGTGCGTCTCCCACCCCCCCCCCCCCCCCGCTTGGGCTTTGATTCTGTGCTTGACATCAGCTGGCATTGCTGGGCACTGTGATTGCACTGGTTCTGCTGGGTACTCTGTACATTGCACTGATTCTGCTGGGCTTGCAAAAATGCCCCCCTCCAATTTCTACTGCCTTTCTTTTCGGGTCATTATTATTTGTTTTATTTTATGATTATTATTGAAAGTAACTAATGTACAAAGGAGGGGCCATGACTTGGATAGCCCCAGCCTAGTCTGATTTCGTCAGATCTCAGAAGTGAAGCAGGACCGACGTGGAGGCAGGCAATGGCAAACTACCTCCAAGCGTCTCTTGCCTTGAAAACCCTATAAGGTCGCCATAAGTCAGCTGTGACTTGATAGTAAAACATAAAATAAAGGAGGGAGGTGTTAAAAATGATCCACCTGGGGTCCTGGGCGCCAAATAGGCTAGGTATGCCACCTAGATAAGCCAGTAGAAAAGCCTGTCAGTCTGACCTGTGTGGATGCTTTCAGTCCCAAGGCAGCTTTGTCAAATTCAGTGCCATAGCAATATGAAGCTTTCAAGTGCATACATCCTTTTTTTCCATTTCAGACAGCCTGCATTTTCCACAAGCTAAACAATCTCTAACTAATTATGCAAAGAGAAGGCCAGCAGAAAGTTCTCAGCTGTGGAAGAACAAAAACAAGAGATCGAGGCTTTTTATGGCAGATTAAATTCTTCTCAAGGTAAAATGTTGTTTGATGTATTCTCGTACAATTGATCACTATGAAAAATTCTCATTTGGATTTGCAGCAAGGAAAACAGATTTGAAAACTAAAAGGTACCCCATTTCCTTATATACACAGTAACATTTTAGTGCCTTTCACAGAGAAAAATAAGAGTAAGGAATTTCTTCTCACATGCAAAACAAGCCTCAGGAACCTGTATAGAAAAAATCAGTTTAAAACACACTTGGGTGACATGCTATCCCCCCCCCAATGAATATTCCTCTCCCAAAACCTAGCTAGATGACATATTGCTGTGAACAAAAAAAAAATGCTACTAGCATGCTAGGAAGATCATGGCTCAGAGCTTCAGCAAAGTGAACTCCACACAGTATCTCCCAACAACCTGCCATGCACAATCGGTCTTCCCCAGAGCTACCAACAACTAGGGCTGTTTCCCCCCACTAAGTCACCCTCCCCTCAAATGAACAGCTGCTTGGAGTGGCATAAGAAGGGCGGGAGGGCAAATGGGGCTCAAACTCTCACTACTCAAGGGAACCTCATGAATGTTTGAGATGACGAGAAGTGGATGAGGAGGATGAGCTCTTTGGAGACTGGTGACAGTGGAGTGAAAAACCCCTTATGTGGAGTGGCAAAATACCTTTGACACCCCTGCTAACGGAATAAGAATGCTTCTCTGCTTCTTTTTTCTGTACTGTCAGAGGTAGGAATACAAGAAGTGTCCTACTGAATCTGAGCAAAGGTCTATCTAGTCAGCACTATGCTTCCTACAGCAGCCAGCCAGGATCCTCTGGGAGGCTCAGAAACAAGAGCATGGCAGCAACATTATTCCCCTGCTGTTTGTCTACAGCACCTGATTCTCAGAGGTATACTGCCTCTTAATATGGAGATTCTATTTACCTAGCATCCTCCACCCGATTTGGCTGAGTGTAAAACAACTTGGGATCTTGCTGGACGGTGCATATACTTAAAGAGGCTATTTCATAAAATCTTCTGCTCCCAGGTAAAACTGCCACCATGGGAGTGGGAGGGTATTAACTCTTTGTGGATCTGATTGCCTGCCCCAGAGCAGTCCTAAGTCTCAACAGTCAGAGCTTTGTTCATGACATAAAATCTGGGCAAGTCACTTTTATCCAACAAGGCAACTGCCTCCACATCCACTCCCTTTTCAAAATGGATTTAAACTACTACCTGCCACTAATGGTACTTGATGGAAGTGAAGTCCTTTAATTAACTATAAGTTGGATGGAGTATTTTCTTTGTCTTTCCTGAACCATCTAACAATGTGTTTGATTTGGGTGAGCAGGGAACTAGAATTATTTAAGCATATGAAATCTTAATTGCCTGCAGCAAATACTCCTGTAGGAGAATGCTTAAAATAATTTTAATACACTGGGTGTGCATAGACTGTCCAGTAGTTTATTGTGGGAAAGAGAGTGCATTTGTTTTGTGGGTCCTTCCTGCTGGGCAGATAGTTGAACTAACTGGCCTTTAGTACCTTCCCCTATTACGGCTTACATTACAGTGACCAGTGGGGAGGGGAAGGGAAAGGGATTATAAGCCGCTCTGAGACTCCTTTGGGTAGTGAAGGGTGGGGTATAAATCCAATCTCTTCTCTCTCCTCCTCTTCTTCTAATTCAACTCAATTGGGATCTGCAGACATCATTTTGATCCAACTGTAGCAACCAGTAACAGTTAACCCCCTTCAGTTTACAGCTAGAGAAATTAAATGAGTAAAGCGAAATTCTCAAAGAAAACATCACTAGGGTTGCTAGGAGAAAAAGGAAGGCCCAGGCCATGTCACCAGCATCATCGCTGCAACACTCTGGTATTTGGGCAAAAACACTAAACACTATGGTAAAAATGGCTTCTACCAGAGCTTTTGCCCAAATACCAGCGTATCACCTGGATGTTGCTGGCATGATAAGACTTCCTGTGTGACGGGAGCAACTTGGCCTGAGCCTTCTTCTTTCTCCTGGAAAGCCCCCCTGCCAGCCAGCCGACTGGTGGCTGGGGGGAAAGGGCCTGGTGGGGGAACCCCTGACTCCACCAGACGGGAGATGTCTGGCAATGGCAACCCTAAACAACACTAGCACATTGTTCTCACCTTATCTTTCAGGGGCTGTAGTTCAGTGGTAGAGCATCTGCTTGGCATGCAGAAGGTCCCAGGTTGGATCCCTGGCATTCCCAGTTAAATGGATCCGGCAGTAGGTGATGTGAAAGACCTCTGCCTGAAGTCTGGAGAGCCACTGCCAGTCTGAGTAGACAGTTCTAACCATGATGGACCAAGAGTCTAATTCAGTACAAGGCAGCTTCATGTGTGGTTTCTAATATATGTGCAGCATTTACATAAAATATGTTTTATTTAATATACTTACTGAAAAATGAAGCCACTGCTGTTGATGGCCCTGAATGTGAGCCTTCAAACGGACCAAGCAGGCCAATGATTTCATTTGTTCTCTGAACCCATTACTTCCTTTAAGCAGAAGTCAGCTGTGGGCTGTGAAAACCTTTGCAAGCCATGGATCAAATGTTTGGCATGTGAGTTGTTTACGCTCCATTTAAGCCTGTGCTTTATTGGGTTAACCTTTCTTTGACCCAAAGAGTGGGTACTTTTTTCTCCCCTTGAGGCAGTCATTAGTTGCGCCGTAACTGATATTCCCAAGGAGAAACTCCATTTAAGTTGGAAAAAGAAAAATCAATGAGCAGATGACCTAAGAACTAATGAGCAGTCTTAGGCTTGTCCCCGGCCCTAATCCTTCCCTGAAGCTGAAGAAATAAGCAAACACACTCCTTGTGTTCAAAGCACCAAAACTGTATACCTGTGAGAATGCAATTCCAAAAGCCACTCCAGCTATGATGCCCATATTTGTCTCCATAAAACTGGTCACCAAATCATAACAGCCCTGTAAAAACAAAGGCAGCCAATTACTTTTGGAATGCACATTCACTTACCTTTGATTTTAACTTTCATTCAACAAAAGATAGACATTAATGGCAACAACACAAATTATTCAGGGGGAGAGTATATTTATTGAAATCACGGAGGTGGAAATGTGAATAACTTTACAAATTTTGTATTTTACAGTGCTGTTAAAATGTGACGGGTTGTTTTAAAAAAAACTTTTAAAAACCCTGGAAGTGTATATTTTAATAAAGTAGGCACAAGTCCAGTACAGAAATGACACAGAACAACAAAGAATACATACTGAGATTCATGGCAGATTACTCAGAATTATTTTGAACAATTATACCACAGATATGAGGTAAGCAGGCATGTTTCCTTGGAGTAAGTCTCATTTAATAGACCTGCGAGGGATCCTGAGCAGATCGGCTTAGGTTTGCTGTCTTAGAGTACTAATGTGAATACTGGTACGTATTTCTAGCAATCAGGCTGATCAGCCCACCAGTGCCACACAAAAGATTATGATACAGCATTGGGGGGGGGGGGGGGGGGGATGAGGAACAAGATATTGTCTTTTGCTTCACTGATAATTTACCAGAAGCCATGTATGGAGAGTTTGAAACTATTATTCCTTAATAAACAACACGCCATTATAAAACCTCCTAACCTACTTTGCCACAGAGAATATTGTTTCAACTTCATCCTAACTCAGCAATGCTTGTGTTCTGTTTCATAACCCTGTTTAATTACTATGCCTCTTTTGTACAGTCTCACAAGGGTTAATGCAAAATTACCAACAAAATTACCTGACAAAAATGTCTCAGCTAAGGGGGAAAAAATAGCTAATTAATACACTTGTGCCCTATTTTCACAGTAGACAATTATTCTTTTATTAATATTTTAAAGGGAAAATGTACTCATCAGAATATGCTTGTAATGCATTCTGAAGATGGGAATCAGTGTATTAGTGCTGGTTAAACTTCTTTGCACTGCTTGATAAGCATATAACGTACAGAATAGAGTCACCAAACAGCAAAAGGCCACATGGGTGAACTATACTCTTCTGAACATGTCTGCCCAACACACCTGCATTAAAATGACTTATCCTTCAGTCTCTCCCTACTGTATCATAGCTTTGGAAACTAGATAAGGAGGACAGGTAATTTGAAAGAGCACCTCAAGTCTTCATTTGCTGAATCCCATAATAATCATGGAGGGATCTGGCTAGAGGTGGAGAAGAGGAGCCAAGTAAATTCTTTGGTGGCCTCTCTTGGTGGAGGCTCTAAAGTGGATGACAGTGGAATGCTACTAACAGCCTATAGCCCAACTGTGGCTAGAGATGACAGCAAATTGGCTTTCCATTCACCCACACTAACATTGTCTGTGCTGGTTCCTGCCTTTCTGGTATCTGATGTCAGATAGTTCTTGAGGGAATCCCCCCTCCCACAATCTGACAAAAAACAGGTGAAGGATGGAGAAAACAGAGATGGGGGCATTCCTGATATTATCTGTTTGTTAGGAACTGGCCATTTCTAGCATAATTGTTAATTAAGGCATAATGTTCTGACAGCTTTACCCCAAAGGCAAAACAGTAGCTAACACCGCTTTTTACCATTATAACATTCCACTTGTGAGTGGGTAATTTACCACTGAAAGGTGTCTCCTTCAAATCAAGGACAATTTTTTTCGTATTTTCTTCTATTAAAGGTAAAGGTTCCCTTGCTCGAAAGCCATTCGAATCTGACTCTAGGGGTGCGGTGCTCATCTCCGTTTCAAAGCCGAAGAGCCAGCGCTGTCCGAAGACGTTTCTGTGGTCATGTGGCCGGCATGACTACACACCAAGGCGCACGGAACGCTGTTACCTTCCCACCGAAGTGGTACCTATTTATCTACTTGCAATTTCTTGCTTTCGAACTGCTAGGTTGGCAGGAGTTTCTTCAATTAGGCACCAATAATTTATTGTATTACACTTACAGGTTCCATCAAGACATTATGGTAAAGTGGTCTCTAAAACTGGTTTGACTGAAGCCTAATCTGAATGCAGATGGTCCAACAAGCCAGACTAAACAAGCAGATGGTCCAACAAGATGGTCCAACAAGCCAGAACAATGCAGATGGTCCAACAAGCCAGAATAAACCTTGGTTTGTGCGATTAACTTTGGTTAGTCTGTCAGATACAATAACAGATTCTGGTTTGTATCTAAGTTTGTCTGCTTCTTACCTCATTTTTGCTTCTCAGCAAGAATTGCACCTTCCCTATATTGCCTTCTTTGTGACTAGAAGGTTGCAAGGGGCAGTACTACCCAGAAAATTGTGGCTTTTAAATTGATACATCACACCAAACCAGGAGTTCAAGTTAGTGTTTATAGGCTCCGTTCACATGGCGAATTTGCTGCGGGAGACCCATGATTGAATGGTGGAGTATCCAGGCGCGATCACACTGCAACATCTGGCAAGTGGAGCGCACCTGTGGGCAACTCATGGCATACTGCCAAAAATGCGGAGTTAAAAAATACCTGGTCGAAGGTACTAGCAACCTCTTTGCCACGGGCTGCCTCCGGACTCCCACGGTGTGATTGTGCTGGCACGCTGCTTTTCCCTCCAGCCCCTCGTTGACGCGGAGGGAAGGAAAAGGGGCATGCCGCTGATGCGTAGGATCGCGTTCTGGTGTGTTAAATTGCGGCGCCGCAAATAGCCACGCCTCCCCCCCCCCGTGTTATCCACCCATGTGACAGGGGCCATAGTTGGTTTGTTAATGATAGCATGTGGTTTGTTGTGATGTATCAATTTAAAAGCCACAATTTTCTGGGTAGTACTGCCCCTTGCAACCTTCTAGTCACAAAGAAGGCAATATAGGGAAGGTGCAATTCTTGCTGAGAAGCAAAAATGAGGTAAGAAGCAGACAAACTTAGATACAAACCAGAATCTGTTATTGTATCTGACAGACTAACCAAAGTTAATCGCACAAACCAAGGTTTATTCTGATGTTTGAATGCAGCCCTAGAAAGGGTAAACAACATGGCAAGAAACCCCATTAGATGTCTTACATCACACCCTTTTATGAGGGTGTCAGCAAGCTGCCATTCTGTTTTCTGTGACCTCTGTGTACATATCCTTTCCTTGTTGCACCCGGCTTGTCAGCACCGCGAATGGGTGGAAGAAGGGGATATTCGGGCCCCTTACCTGATCCGTAGTTTCCACAAGAGGTTCCCGGACAAACCGGGAGGTCTCCCGCCCAGCCCGGGAGATCTCCCGCCCGACCCGGGAGGTGTGTTGTAAGTGTATTTTAAGGGGGGCAGTATGTCAGCAAGCTGCCATTCTGTTTTCTGTGACCTCTGTGTACATATCCTTTCCCTGTTGCACCCGGCTTGTTTTCTATCATCCTGCTCCTGCGTTGGAATGCACAAGATAACTGCTGGAGGTTGTGTGGGGGAGAAGATGCTGTAATGCTTGCCTATTGCTTTTCTCATGAGTACTGCACCTGTGTTTTGTCTGATGTTCTGCCTGGTTCCCATGGACTGGGCGCGCAACCGTTTCATTAGCCCGCCAGCGGGAATGCCATTCATTGGATCTGTATCTGTTTGAATTTCCTTTATTATGCTTGACCTAACTGTGTATCCCCAGTTCTAACAAAGAACGTGTTTGAGTATGTCTTCAACGCTTTGAAATAAATTTTGCTTTCTTGAAAACGTGGATTTATTCTCGATGCTTGGGGATCCAACATATCCGCTCCTGGGGACCCACGTTAGGGTGAGAGCGTTGATTGATTCTGGGTGTGGGAGGGATCTCATCAGCCCTAGAGTGTTATTGGCACTGGAAGCGGGGATAGTCCCCTTGAAGTCTCCCATCATTTTTACCCAAATGGATGGGGCACCCATGGAACCTTGTACACACGAGACTATGGCTTTGCGGTTGGGGGCTGGCGATCATTGGGAATCCAGATCCTTCATTGTTACCCCTAAATCACAGTTCGACTTAGTACTGGGGAGTCCCTGGTTGTTTACCCATGACCCTTACATCTTGTGGGAAGAAGGGGTTGTCAAATTTGTGTCGGCTAAGTGTGTAGATCACTGCTGGTTGGACTCGTGGGGGGACCAGCCGACCGCACAGTTCCCCTGCGGCACTTTGCAGCCGGAAGAGTTAGCTTCTTTGCCTCGAGAGTATAGAGACTTGGCGAAAGTGTTTGGCGAAGATGAAGCTAACG